TTTCAGTGAATAATCAGTCAGTGACGAATTAGCTAGCTTCAATTTAGCCTGCACCAGCTAGCCGCTAGCTTTCGATTCAGCCCGAGTATATTTCTATTTGGGTATTTGATACGTAACATCATGGTAATAATGTTACTTTTTTCTTTCTCAATATCAGTATCGGTAACATGATTCAGGGTAACGATAACGCTCACGAGTTGTTCTTCCAAATTGAGTAACGATAACACAGTTGCATTTAGGACAACAAATAACTTTTCCGATAAGTAGCAAGCAACGGTGGCGAGCTACTTTAAGAAAGGCAACTCTCCCAACTCGTGTGACGTGAGAGGAGCCACAGAGGGGAGGATTCGAGCTGGAGGAAAAAAATCCCGCGAGCCGGAAGCGGTGTCTCTCGAACGGGAAGATCGGTTCGCTCAAAAGCCGCGCGATAACTGAAACATCCGCTCGTCGATATCGAATATTTTTCCGGGAGCCGACTTCGAATTCCGCATCTGGCGAATCCCCGGAGACGAAGGACGGCGTCCGCCGATGAGCGAGGGCGTCTGGGACGGTCTGTAAGATGAAACGCGAGGAGGGACGCTCGCGGCGCTGAGGGTCTTCGGTTCCGCGCGCGTAAGAGTGTATTTTTCTGCTCCCCGAGAGCAGCCGCCGGAATGATCAATACTCGGAGAAGTATCTCGCGTACCCACCCGGAGATTCCTCCCGCTCGCCGGCGCAAGAATTCCCTTCCGATCGCGGGGCGGCGGAGAGAAGGTTCCCGAGACCCGTCGATTTTTCTCTGTTTACGCCGATTCGCCGGCCGTATTATTTACGAGGCCGGGGCTAGATACGAGCCGGGTGCCATCGATTCCCCGGCATCCAACGGACGGATTACAAATCGCGGCCATGCAAATGCGCTTTTTATCGAGCCGACTCCTCGAAATGCACTTCACGCCGCCGCCGCGCCGCGGGGAAAGTGCATCCGGAATCGGCGATGGGGTCGACGTCTGCAGCATCCGCGGGCACTTCGCCGCAAAGCGGTATTTCAAGTATAAAGTAAATTACACCGCCACCCCCCGCCCCCGCAATCCCATCAGCGGCAAATACTTCGCTGAAATTCCCCCGATGCCCTGTACCCCTTCCCCGCGCGAATTCACCAAACAGTGGACGATAGACAAGGGTGGGGAGAATTCGCCGATACGTCGAAAAACATCGGTCGCCGCGATATGTACACTCCGCAACAATGAATCGTTCGGTCTGCGGCCGGGAGGGACGCTCTCCGCTCTCTTCCTCCGCCCCCCCCCCACAGCTGTTTTCAAATTATTTCTGCCGGAGGAAAAATCACTTCGTACTCAGAGTTTTTTTTCTTTATCAGCAATCACTCGACTCTATTTGAGAAACTTTCGTCAAATTTTAACAAGTAATCTACGTATTTCTATTATTTTCCCCTTATTTACGCACGTTTACTTTCATCATCTCCAACGGCTTATTTTCTACATAAATATATTTCTACGTTTCATCGAACAACTGTAGGGTATCTTTATAACGAAAACATTATTATAATATATCGTGTGTATTTCTTTACATTAAATATTATGAGAAAATATTTTACCGTAGCGGGAAGAAAGAGAAGAGTGAGAAACGGAAACTCGGTTACCTCTGTTTTCGTATTATTGTTTATTATTACCGATCTTATCGGTCCGTACGCCGGTTAAGGTGAGACGCGCGACCTGCCGCTAACTGACAAGGAACGGTGCTTGGGGAGGGTAAGGAGGGAGGGATCATCCCTCTCGCATCGCTTACTAAGCGATTCATTATTGCGAAGTGTTCTTCAATATCAGCATCGCTCCTCGGAGACGTCGTCGTTCGTTGCCCGGCCGATCTTTTTTTATTCGATATCTGAATGTGCGAGCGCGCCGGACGCACAGACACACGCGTGGACAATCAGAAGCAGACACTCATTATAAGTTTGGCGTAAGTTGTCGCGACGAGAGCTTATCGCAGGACCCCTCGGGGTGAGGGGGTAATCGTGACTTCGCGGGATAATCGACTCGGGGAGGATCGCGCGCGCGCGACACGCCCGCCGCGTATTCGCGCCGCGTATCGCTCTCAAAAGCGTCCATTTGGCGAATGTTTAAGATATTTATGACGTCTAGTGTGCGCATCGCGCCCGCCCTACTACCCTTCCGTCCTCCCTTCCTCGCCCTTCCGTTCGCTCACCCCATTTCTGTCCACGAAAAGCCGATCGCCCTGCACCGGGAGGCATAAAGTTTCGATGTATTGCGCGCAATCGCTTGTAAACCTCACCTATAATACACGCCTATCTATCTAGGACGAGCCAATGCCTATAACCGATAACCGATACGACGCGCGCACGCGTGTCGGTGTACGTTCGTACGAGTGCGTTGCGATGTGTGCGAGTGGGAGTTAGCGCGCGTGTGTGTGTGTGTGCCTGCTTGTTTGCGCGCTACACACGTGTGCGCGCGTGTCGAGTGCAGCAATCGCTGCATCCGGCTGTGCGCTTTACTTTATTGGCTTTGCATTCGCGCGCATTTACTCTGTGAATAATAACCGCTACTGTAATTGCGATCGACAGATACCGCTGTTTTAACGTCCCTTTGTGTGCGCGCGCCCTCGATCGGTTTTATTAAAGCTCAGACGCGGAACGCCGCGTGCCCGTTCGACGGTCGGGCACGCGTTAAAAATTGATTCTCGCGAGTGACGCGAGATCGGCGAATATCAGCGGCCGGGGAGCGGGAATTTTCGGAGCGATCGTTCTCCCTTTCGGAAATTCTCACTCGACGCGCCGTATCTCGACGTGAATTCAGTCGCTGAATGTCAAACTGTCGATATATACGCAGATCGCCGCCGGCCAGGATGAATTCGTTCATCGCGCATTGCCGATCGTTCGGCGTCCCATAAAGGCGATGTAAGGATTAACGGTGTCCGTTTCGGCCGTCTCGAGCACCATTCGTGTCTTTCAGCCGTGTCAATCGAGTTACACGGGGAAGAGATCGTTTTCCCGTCGTGCAGCGGAACCATCGTCGCTACTCTGCGTTCATTCATTGCGACTGCGATGAAATTTAATTGCCCTAATCGAATTAGCGAATTGTACCGTGAGTAGAACGGAGACAGTTTTTTTGGCGGCGGAACGAAAAATTTTGCCGAGTGAATCAACGTGTTCTTAGGACGCGTTGATTTACTGTTGTAACAAAATAATGTCTTCCTAAATGTACTGATCTGTTCTTACAGAAAAACAATTCGTAGATCCCGCGAAATATATGCAGCGAACGGCAACTTGGTACTCTTAAAATACCATTTGGCTGTCCGCACGGTGACTGCGGCAGATTTTGCTACGCCACCAGATCATTTTTCTTTCGTGTATTAAATTATTCTAGATTATCCCGGCGAACCACATGAGTTGTCCGCAACGCGTCCGTTCGTTCCTCGTTATCGTTAAAAAAACCCGATAACCAGGTGACATTTGAAAAAAAAAAACGGATACTTCAATACTCGGGATACTTCGATACGCGCGGACGTCCAGTTGCACAAGTGCCCCGATAAGTGCGGTACCCCACCTGGCGTATAAACCGGATATAAAAAGCCGGGATTATGACGATAGCGCTAGTAAGAAGCCGTATACATGAGATATCTCGATGCGATGTTTTAAAAACTGGATTGTCGAGTTCGAGATTCCGAGTCGAGCAGAATGAGCGGATTATTGCCAGATAAGATAATCAATCGGCGGCGCGTCCATCGATCGAGGCGCGCGATACGATACGCTGACGCGAATCGGGCACGCATATATCCCGCTCGTATCTTATTAATATCGCTAATATGATCCGTACACGCTCTTGGCTTACCAATCAGCTCCGGCCTCTGTGTCGAGAGGGCACAAAATACAACCCGCGCCGGCAGTAGAGCCGCCACCCGTGAAACAGCCGCCCTCGCAAAGCTGTCCGCCGGATCACTCTATTAAACTGACGGCGAGTGCCGGCAATATTGAGTTAGGTGGCAATACCCTAAATTGCTGCAGTAGCCCTGTGCACGCGGCCTTTACTTCAGCGCACGTCGGTGCGATCGATCGCGCCGGGACAACGATAATTGCCGCGCGACGCGAGACGCGTGCGGCGCTCCCACCGTCGTCTTGAATTGCCCGATACAGTTCGAGCCCGAGAACTGCGCAAGATGAAAATTTCCCGAATATCGCGCGAGAAAAATGTATTAGCGTGAACGTTGTTAAAAGGATAAAAAACGAAGGAAGTATCACATCGAAATCATTTCTTTTCGAGTCGGGCGAGCTCGCTTTGGGGGGAGGGGATTATTTTTATTTCCGTAAATTTCTTGGAGTGAAATTTCACACGGGAAGCGGAGCGAGAAATAGATTCACTCTGATTCGAGTGATTTTTCACTCTTTTGAGAGAATGAATCGTCCGTTCTGAATCGTCGGGTGAATATTTTCACGCGAAAGAGCGAGTATTCCGACGTATTCCGCCGTTACGGGAACAATTCATTCTAATCAATGGAAACGCTCACTCGAGCGGAGTTAGAATCCACTCTAAGCTTGAGTGAAACATCCACCCTCGCGACGTCGAGTGGCAATATTTTCACTGTAGCTTTGAGCGAAAATATCGCCACTTTTCGCCCGTTTTGAGTTGAAATTCGAGCACCGAGGAATTCGGAGGTTAAACAGACTAACCGCCATGATTCTTTTCCGGCGCAACTTTCACCCGAAATTCCGCCGGAGTTCTTTCAGCCTCCCGTTCGTGCGAGTTACGAAATTCAAATTTAGCTCGAAATTTGGTTCATCGCGCGACGTAAATTGCCCATCAAGCTGACCCAAATCATCGGTCGCATCTATCGCCTCGCTCGCTTGATATTTCAACCAGAGGTGGAACTATTTGTATTGCGCGGTTAGATCTACCTTTTGGTAGTTGAGAAAACATCCGTATGACGCATAAACCGTTTGACGATCGATCGTGTATTAATGAAAGCTAACGAGACGTTGCCCGCGATTGCAGCGGAGACCCAGTTGGGCAAGCAGAGCATACTAGAATTCCGCACCCTTCACGTGGGTGGATATCTGCAACCGGGCGAGGACGTACCGCATTTCGTGGGCCAGCTGCAGCAGATCTGGTTCAACGGGTATCCGTACTTGGAGATTGCGCGCAGCGCCGGCAATCACGAGAACTCGCATCAGGGTGTCACACCCATCATCAGGGTGACCGGCAAATTCGGCAAAAGGAACCATCCGGTGCATCATCCGGTGACTTTCACCTCCAAGCACACCTTCGTCGGCCTGCCGGTACTTAAGGCGTACGTGGAGACCAACATTTACTTCCAGGTAAGAACTCGCAGTTTCTGTGAGATCGCGCTCGGAGATTCAATGAAAAGTATCGAAGTTTAATCGACGCACGCCGAAAAATAACTTATAAGGGAAGTGAGACGGGAAATTTCAAAATATTTCAAATTTTTCGGAAATAATGCATATGCAAAGCTGATCACACGGTTTTTTTTTTATTTTGGTTGAAAAACGGTTCCGGGAGTGAAGATATCCCTTCAAAGAAAATCCGGTTTTTCATATTTCCTTTATTAATAATATCAGTTGAGTCTCAGTAGCTGATTCGAATTTAGCTGACAGGCTTTTAAGTTTGAGTAAAATTTAAGTTAAATATCAAGATCACTGTATTAAAGGACTTATCAGCTGAATCGAAAGCGTACATCGAGTAGCTGCAAAAGTGGCGGTCATTCTCAAATATCTTATTATTGAATGCTGCATGAAAAAAGCTCGGCTTCCTGCAACTAAGTGAGGACCACGTGGAGACTCGGTGACAAGAAACGGAAACTCGGTGACGAGAGAAATGATATCTCTGTCACCGAGACATTCGTGCGAACATTCAGCTGCATTAAAACTCGGTCGAGAGACAACCGAGAGCAATTGACCGAGCAGAAACCTCCTACGGGAATTTTTCTGTTCCTATCCCACGACCGAGCTTTCGTTTGAGCCGCGGGCAACGGAAAATTCGGTTACACCGTACTACGAAATTGTTTTTTCTATGTGAAATGTCATTTTCTTTCTGCCAGCGAATATTTCTCGCTGCGACGTCTGAGCTCCACCAACTAAACACAAATCGATGCCTTCGTGGTAACCACAACATTCGCCGTCCCGGTTTCGAGGAAACATCTCAGCTTTTACCTACTTCTATTAATTCTTCCTTCGCGTGGGTTCGACGACACGCTTTGGTATCAACCTCACGTAAACCCCTTCCCCTCTCCCCCTCGGCGGAGGATCCGAAAGTACCAATGCGTTCTGATACCTCATACATATATACACGTTACTTTTCAGTTTAAGACGCGCGAAGCGAACGGCTTGATCCTTTATAACGCCGGAAGGGAACGTGACTTCATCGCGGTCGAGCTGGTTAACGGACACGTGCACTACGTGTTCGACATGGGTGACGGGCCCGTCAGGGTCAGGGACACCTCCAAGTCCAAACTGAACGACGGCAAGTGGCATGCCGTCAGCATCGGCAGACCCTCCCCGAAGAAGCACACCCTCGCCGTGGACGATCACGTGACCGTCGGCAACAGTCCGGGCAGCAACGAGAATCTCGATCTCGACGGCATATTGTATATCGGTAAGTACAGACAGAGACAGAGAGAAAGAGATCCGAGTTGACAAGTCGATGAACGATTCGATATCAATTAGTTTTTCGAACTATTCGATTTGATAACTATTAGATTTTTCACTGAAAGCAAGATCGACGCTATATTGGCGACAGATCCGCATGACATTTTGTTAATACCATGTCCATGTATAATCGATATCTAGCTATCTATGTGATATGAACGTATCATATAGGTGCCGGCAGATTATTGACAATCTAGCCGGTCTAGTATCCAAGTCGAATCGTTGATTCATGTATCAACTTGATATGGATATGATATAAACCGGACAACGACTAGATTGTCAACATCTATATCTTCCAGATGTGATGAAGTTTTACGAATATCAAATCGAACATTGATTTAGACTTGACTTTCATATGATTTCGACCGGATTTTCCATCGACATGTAAACCCGGGAGAAGAAGAGGACGGCGGGAGTGAGAGAGGGGGGAAGGAAAGGAGAGAGAGAGAGAGAGAGAAAGAGAGAACACTATTATAACAACGAAACGAAGCGTGCTCTCCGCAACGGGATATTTTTTCACGTTTATCCAATTTGCAGGTGTGACAATCTGAGCGTGCGCATTCTCTCTCTTTCTCTCTCTCTCTCTCTCTACTTCTCTCTTTATTTATCGCATCCGTTGTAGTACGCTCGCGCACGGCGATACAATTAATTAGGATTCCATCCGGCGATTCCATTGGAGATATTGCTACAATAAAATAACAGCGTGTGCCCGATATTAATTTAATTTAATTAGTCAGCTGTAATTTACATCTGCAATCCGTTTACCGTGTATATAAGTTACGCCATTTATGCGTTCGATTCTTAATTAGTTCAATGAATCATTAAGCATCCTCCTTTGGCACGCGCCGTGTGCACACTCGAATACTCCGAATTCGTTCTCGCGTTCGCGCGCCGGTAAACGCGCTTCGCGCCGAGTGGGTCACCGGTGACCCCCGTTGAATTTCCCGGTTCAGCCCGTTTGATATTCTCGCCTCCTCGAAATAATGCGTAATCGCGAAGTATGCTTTGATAAACATGAATCATGAAGGTGTTATTTGACAGATACAATTTAGAGTGTCCGTCGTTGCTTCTCCTCCGGTTAAATCTGCGACTGCTCCGCTTAAGTTCGCGAACAGTTATCTATTGTTCGTCGCCACTTATGCCACCGCATTCTCGTTAACTGCGACAAACCGATATATTTGTTGCAAACTATAATTAACAAAATCGTCAAGCCACAGAGCTTCTGTCTCTCGTGCATACTGAGAGAAGAATATCTAAAAAAACATATATAAAATATTTATCCGGTTATTAATATATTTCATTAAATCTAGATTATTTCGTCTAAATAAACAATTGTTCTCATGAAATATATATTTCATTAAATCTAGATTATTTCGTCCAAATAAACAATTGTTCTCATGAAAAGCTACAGATTTGAGAAAATATATATTTTCTCATCTGGGGAAAATTTTAGCCCCTCTGCAAAAACATGAATATTAGTATAAGTAATATATATGTTATCAGTAGCCACGAGTAAAAATACTTTTTATTTCTTGGATATTTCATTCTCTCAGTGTAGATCAGTTGTAGCAACGTTTTTTTCGTACTGACAAGTGAAACTTAACTCATGATACGCCAACGTGAGGGTCCGCCGATGACCCACGCGGCGTGGTTTACGAAAAGTCACAGTAAAATTCATTGGAATCACGGGACGTGTTGACGAATGAGACGTTAACGAACGAGAATCTCGGGAGAAGGTGAGTTCGTCTCCCTTTTTTGCACCACACTCGATCGAACGGAGATATGTTTGAGTGTGATCGGCACATGCAAATTTTGCTGTTTCCGTGCGGTAAAATCGCGCGCGATATCGCGGGGCTAACTGGCGCGTAATGCGCGCGAACACATTTGACCGTTCGCCGTGCGAATTCTGCGCGCATTTATGGCGATGTTGTCAATCGCGATGATGTCACGCCTGCAGTAATTCCCTCGGAGTACGCGCTTTATCTTGCCGTACAAATAACCGAATGGTTAATAGCGCGCGCAGGCGATGTACCTGCCGGCGTCGTTCGATAAGTTGCGACGCCTTTCGCCGTAACTTGTCCGAATAAAATAACGCACAATGCACAATACACAATGCGCGCGTCCAATGGTGTGCACGGCTTCGGTGAGAAACTAATCAGTCCATCTCTCACGAGAGTACGTGTCGGTTAACACGTTTAATGCCGGTCACCGGTCACCGCCATGATGCTACCGCGACTCATTAAGTTGCGTAACGTTACTTTAAATTATATGGTATTATTTGAAATTTTATATATATATATAAAATTCACTTCGTTCTAAAAATTAATTGTACAGTCGGCGGAATTTTTCTGGTGATCATCAGTTGAGCTTTCGTACAATCAACGAAAAATCAATGCGGTAATCAACTAGCTAGTCGGTGCTACCGCGACTCATGAAGCCACATAAATGCACATTAATTTGTATACTATTACTCAAAGTGATACGTATAATTGATTGCGTTTAAAAAATTGCGGTTGACCGGCCGGACAGAAAGCCGGTGAAACGTAATGAAACGAGACGAAAGTGATACATGCGCTTCGAATTCCATTTATTTGCCGTATCTTCGATGATCATCAATTAGCTTTAGTACAATCAACGATAGTCAACTAGCAATTGACGGGTTAAGTGAGATTACATTGTTCAATTACAAGACATGCATTGCGTGTAACGTTTTACTCGTGATACGAAACAGCGTTTCGACACATGTTGCCGGATGCCTTCGGTTTCGATCGAAATCGGGCTCGATAAACGTAGCGACCTCGATCGTACTCGGGTGCCCGCTTATTTCGTCGCTTTTACCTTCTACAACAGACGAAACATACAACACGTTCCATTACTGATTGTGCCAAACCGATCATGCCGAGAGGGAAACATGGTCGATCTTACCATAAATTATAGTCATTTTCGGCGTCAGCCATTTTCTTCATTATTCCGGTGAAAAGGTAGTAGCGGTAATATACGTATATATAAACTTTATAGAGTGCGAGTAATTAATTAGTTCTTAAATTAATTACCGTGCTTAATTGACGAATGATATGAGCCAATTTAAACGAAGTAGCTTCCGTTGACGATCGAACTGAGCAAATCCAGCCGAAGAATATTCAATGAGGATTAACACGGGCTATTTTAATGGGAGGTCAGTCTATTGACAGTTGACATGAGCAAATACAATCGAAGGCCATTCAATCAAGATCGTCATTAGATTCGCTCATCGTCACCGAACGGTCTTCGATTGAATTCGGTCATGTTAATCACCAAAACTAACGACTTTTGAATAAAATTTGCTAAATTTACTTTCCGTCAATCTAACGGTTTTCGATCGAATTTGCTCGAACCAATCATCAATTAGTTGCACTGAAGTCGATATATTCGAATCAATTATTAAATTGAGAATATTTTAGTTGATTCTTCCCCAACTTTGCGCCACAAAGTTATTATTAATAACACTATAGTAGTGTTAGTCGCAAAAGCGGATTTCCTAATGACTCTTTCACCGTGCAATTATTACACGTATCAGTCGCACTTTTCCTCGATGCACGAATACTTGTGATAATTACATTCTTTAGATAAGAGAGCCCTCGATATTATCGCATTCACGGCCGCTGATGTAATACAAAGCGTCTTACGTCAGCGGTCACGAGCGCGTTAATAACACGCTGTTCAGTTACCTCGGAGTTAGCTCTCTCTTTTTAAATAAAATAATGAAGTATCTGTCGCACATCAATTATGATGACCGTTTAGACGCGGAATCATAAAGATTGAATGAACGACTGTCCCATTTATAATGCATCTGTTTCCCGAAAGAATTTTCTCAGAAAGCGATCGAAGTCGTCGCTGCGATGAGAGAGAAATTGTTCGCGATGCTCGTGACTATACACGAAGAAAAGTAGTTCAGCTGTTACAACGAAACCAGCGTTGTCACATTTGTTGCGACATTTAGTTGGCATAACCAAATCAACGAATCATTCGTAATTAGGGCAGAAACAGCCGCGAGGATAGAAAATATTCTGCTTATTTATCCTTAGGATGCGTTAATTTGTCGGTAGAACAAAAAATAACGTCTTCCTAAATTTATTATATTAATTTGATCTTACGGTAAAATAATTTATAGATTCAGCGAAATAATCCAGCGAGTGGCAGTTGGTATTTTTAACAAATTATTTTGCTGTCCGTTCAGTAACTGTCCAATTTTATTGTAACAGCAGAAAATTTGCTGTGTCAGCGAATTATTTTTCTCCTTAATTACATAACAAAGTAATATAAAGAGAAACGAGTATATATGAATTAAAGTAATTACAGTTAGTAATTATTTTTGTAACAAGCGCTACTGTAATGATAATCAACTCAAATGTAATCATCTCTCTCTCTCTCTTTCAGACTGGAACGTTTATATTTTATCATCTCATTTATATTTTATTATCTCTCCCATCAGACTCTCTACTAAAAATTACTTTTCCGTAACCAATTACCCACGTCGGCTCTTATTGGCCCAGTTTCTTATCATCGTTGACTTAAGAGCCTCACTTAATCGTCTCGCTTTGTAATCAATTTGTATGCATATATCGTTGCTGCTACTCTTTCATTGGAACAAACTGGAAAATACGGTCATGGCCGAAAATGACTATAATTTCACCGAGATCAACCATTCCCTTTCCACGGTGTAGAGGAAAAGACGTCAACTCACCTAGGTGGTATGTAGAACCTGCAGCGTCCTAAGCTATCCGGTTCCTCACCTGGCGGGCACGGATATGGGGGCACGTCGATGATATTCCTGGAGCCGACGGACATTGGGAGAATCCTGTCGGACATCACGATCCCGTCGTCGTCCCTCATCTCCTTTCGCGCGTTTCCCATCGTTTCCATCCCGTCGTCGTCGAATCGAGGGGAAGCTTTCGCGCTAATCGATTCGTGAACAGAAAAACCGGTGAGACAGACATTACCATGGAGCGTTTCGCGTCTTCGATCGCGTGGTCCCCGCCATTCTTACGTACTCGTTCGTGTAGTACAAGTTCTTGAGCGTGGGGGTGTGGTCCGTCAACAGGCGAATATCCATCTGCGGCATCCGGGAACCGTCGTTCCCCATCGCTCTCCACCTACCCGGTATATCGTCCAGGCTCTTCGATGCTGTCCACGGCGAGAGCCGCACGATCATTAGCCGCGGCTGATACGCGATCGCCGCCGCCGACGTCGTCGTCGTCGAGAAACCGACGATCAACGCGACGATCAATAGCGAAACGCAACGAACGCGCTCACGAGGGCACATAGTGAACGACGATTCGCGATATCGAGATTCTCGAGAGAAAATACGGCGAAAATGAACTTCGGAGGAATGCGGGAGATGGGGAGAGAAATGATTCGGTTCCCGGCTTGGTTCGACTTGTCGCAACGCGCTGCGCGATGGCAATAACACGCGACACGATTGACCGTCGTCGCTTTAACGCTGCGAAAAGTCGGTCAATAATAATCCCGCTCTAGGCGCGACTATTATCGCGTTATCGCGCGATATGGGTGATGGAGCGGGATTTAGCGCAGAGCGTCGTCGTGGTCTCGTTACCGCGAGCTTGATCGGGCCGCAAGCTCGATTAATAATCCGACCTCGAGTTGTCCCGGAGTTGGCGCGCTTTCGGAGCCGGGCGGATGACGACTACTACCGGGCGGAGAAGCGCGGAAATAATTGGCCCGCCACTCGCGAACTTAGCCGTGACGCGTCGCTGGTTTCCGCTTTTCTGGCCGCAGCACGCCGCCGCAAATGTAAGATTAAATTTGAGAGTGGATGGCCCTCTCTCTCACCGCCGGCAATTAATGCGAATTAATGGCAGCGTGACGAACACGTGCCGTGAGATAAACGAAGCAACCGGCCGATAAGAGCCGACCCACCGTCGCCGCTCGGTTCTTTCCGCGAAAACCCGAAAGCGCGTGGATGTGGTTAACCCTCGCCCGTAATTAGCCTGTAATAATTCACACGCCGGCACCGCAGCCTCGCAGCGCGACCGCGTTCGCTCAATCGTAATCCCGCGCGTTTTTCATTGTAATTCTACGTACGATTTAATCCTGACGAATCTCTCTCTCTCTCTCTCCGACCCACCGACGACTCGTGGTCTCGTGTGTTTTTCGCAGCTGTGCGTGGCTCCTTATTTTCGTTTTTCGTCTCGTCCCGTCGCGTGTGCGATTCTCTCCCCGGATCCCGTGTGACAGCGCGACGCGATCGCGTGTTCCTCTTGTCCGCTCTCTTCCATTAGTCGGCGCGGGGATTACTTGATGTCGGAATCTTTCCGGCGGCTGACGCAACCGCGACAATTAATTCGAAGGCTGCGAGCCGAGAGACCAGCTGCGTCGCGCAATTGTTGTGTATACTTCGAACAGTGAGCTTCGAAGGAGCCTCAAGGATGTGTATCGGCCATTAGTGTTTTCGGCACATCAAGGGAGCCGCTCGTAAATTGCGTTTTTATCAAGCAAAATTACGCTCCTATACGTTTGTTTCAACTACTTAAGTGATGAATGTCAATTTGAAACGAAGTTGAGGTAGACGTGTATTCGTAATGTTACGAATGCGGAAATATTATTTTGTAATTTTCTTATTAATGCTGTGTTGATGCACCAGTCGATCTAACAAAGATGCACGGATAATAGAAAGAGTTGTATAAATGCTTAAATATGTGTATATATATCGAGTATCGCTTTAAGTAAACTTTTGGTGTCACTTTTAAATGCAATGTAGATCAATTTGTCACCTCTTTATCTCTTCTTCATTATTTTCACTTATGGGCAAATGCATCCTTAACGTTTGCCCGATCGAAACTCCCGTTCATTTTTTCCGATCCGCCAATAATTTGAATAGAATACGATACGATGTATGAGGTAATGCGATACGATATATCAAATCGTCAAGATAACAATTAGTTAATTAACCAGCAGTCATATTGAAAAGGTATACTTGGACGCGATTGGGAATCACGATTGGAAAAGTCGACCGAATTTTTCGGCTTGCTAAATTTTGGCACGGTTAGGAAGGTTACTTTCAAAAAGTAACTTATACATTGAAAAAAAAAACGTTATTAAACTCGTTACCGCCTATCGTCGCTTACTTTGAAAAACAACTCGTTACCGTTGTTGTTATTCGAGAAGTAACGAGTCGTCACACCTTCCATTACTTTTTTCGTCGAGTTCTGAAGAATTTTCTTCTCACGAATCATGACCTCTCCTTTCACGCAGATGTATTTTGCGTGTGCGCAAAAGAAACGGTAAAAATAACGATCGCATTCGTTATCGTTACGGCAAAAATGCAATTACTTTATCATTATCGTTACTAATGAAAAAAAAAGAAATTGATGACGTCGTCACCAAGTCGCTTCTGAGGGAAGGTAACTTGTACCGATAACGACGTTGCGAGTAACGCGTTACTTCCCGGCCCTGAATGAATGATAAGGCTTTATCGAAGCTTGGTGGTGCACTGCATCTCTTGAAACGATCAAAAAACGCAACGACGTAAGAAATCGTCGCGTCGAGGATCGGTGATCTCTATAATAGATACGTCTAATGGAGTTCTGTCTAACTACTCCGTTATCTGCGAGGCTAATGACGCTTACGCAAGACAACGCGACGCGAACACATCACGTGTCGGTTAAACGAATCCATGTGTTGTTCGAGCACAGGATGCCCCTGAAATGTACGCTATCCATCCAGCGACATTGTTTTATTTTTAAAATGGAACGGTTCGTTACATTTTCCGGTACATTAGAGTCCTATGGAAGTGGTGCTGAGAAACGGTGTGAATTGGTCATTCACTTGTACGCCTCCTCAACGTTGGCTCGTACTTTAGCTCGGTCTTTAACGTTGATTTGCAACGTAAACATACCATATGTAAGACATTAAAGTTAAAGTTATCGAATGCGCGATGCTTCAACTTGATATTATCCTATCTCCAATATTTTGCTTTAGCTCGAACGCGATAATCCAGCTCGTTCGCACATTTTCTCGAGGAGAGCTTCCGAGGAAGTAATCGCAGAGTGCGCGATCGAAAGATAAGAGTGCACTTACATGTATTCCCTGCAGATTCCTTTACTGTCTTCCTGTTCTCCTTCCGGACAATATGTGGGTGGTATGATAATATTCTTGTTTTCGAAAATCGTGCGACGCCTTGCAACGTCATCCAGCACTCCGCTCTTCTTCCCTTCGTTCTCCACCGATTTCATCTTCGCAGCGCCACTAATCAATTCGCGATAAAAGCCGTACTGATATCACCGTAATTCGCTCTAATCTTGGTTGATTGACAAGGAAGATTCGGCAACCCGCAAATTCGGGAAAATTTGCACCAAGGGAGTACACACTAATGATATAATTATCTGTTCGTTTCGACGGAAAGGGAGAATAATTTTTCATATTTCTCTTATTATCTCTAAAATCATAGATATCGAAAAAATATCGAATGCAAAATTCAATCGCATCTTACATATATTCTACAACACTGTGACAAGAAATTCAAGGGAAAAGTTTTCAGAAACCATCTCTAGTTTTCAATTTGGAAGTACATCATTTTTCATCACAGTGTGTTACAAAAAACGTAGTTACTTTTCTATGTCGGTTCTTCGATACCTCTGATGGTTACAAATCTATACGTAAGATATAAAAAAGATTTTCCTTAAAGAAGGGGGAATAAGTCCTCCGAACTATTTCAGCCAAAGCGAAAAGTTTCCAAATTTAACGAATGCCAAACTTTCCTTGTGACGTTTGAAAAAAAAAAAAAACAAAACACCGCTACATTCGAGGCGTCAGGTATTCGCTGTCGCTTATCGAACTTATGCATACTCTATGACATCACTATTTGTACGTACCCGAAATATTTGTCCACGTACTTATCCCACTCGTACACATCCCACTCGCCGCCCGGCGAGAATTTGTTCTCTTTCGGCGCCTTTCTCAACGGCGCTCGCGGTGTTTCAACCTTCGGATGCCGCATTCCCCACTTGTCCGGCAGATCTTGCCGGTACGTATTCCAGATGATGCTGATCAGCTTCGGCGAGATATTGAGAGCCAATTCCTACGGCTCGAAGGCCGTCGTCGACATGGAGAAGCAACCGATCGAGATCAACGAAAGAACGAGATCGCGAGGACGCATGCTGGCCGACAGTTTCCGGACGCTTCTGTGATATCGAAGAAGCAAAAGAAGGGGAAAAATATCGTCTTCCTTTGTCTCAATCTTATTGTATCTTTGGGCTCGCGTACCTTCGGAGGCGGTACATCGACGACTGACTGAAAGTACAATATCGGTTTCGCGAAGTTAAAGAATTGTAAGACTTACCGCTTTCTGCGCGCGACATCCGGCCCTTCCACCGCAGTGCGTCCGCAAACGTTGCGATTAAATTCTCGAAAGAGGATAATTTACTTTAACTGCGTTTGATGTAACTCAATGGCGATATGACAAACGCGTAACAAGCGTGACGAACTCCAATACACCGATATATCCGACTGATAAGGACGATTCAAGGAAAAAGTGCGCGCATGGATGTGGTTAACCCTCTCTTACATTACTTTCAAAGCAGGATACGCGCGATATCAAATTGGGCCTGCGAAAGAGTCGCGCCTCCCGGAAGTGGAAGAAGACGGGAGGGAAAAGAAGAGAGGAAAGAGAGACGGAGAAAGAAGAAGAGAGAGAGAGAGAGTGTGTCGAGCGGAACGTCTCTTGTCACGAAAGCGCGTATTCAAATTTCCGGCGAGCCGACACCTCGTGTCACGCTCGTGTCGTGAACATTTCCGCGATCGATATTCCGCTTAATAATGCACCAGGGAGGAAATAAATAACTCGATGGCTGTTTCGCCCGTGCCGCTCGATCGATAATTATTTCAAAAGCACCGACATCACCGAGGCTTTGCGAACAGCAATAATAGTTTATCATGAAAAATGCGATAAAACGCCGGAGCGACGGGCCCGTCGCGATTTCGCAAGTGACGCGTATATTATTACTATTATTATTGTTAAATAAACGGGAGAATAAAGTCTCCATCTGGATATGCAATACAGATAGAAATAATGAATACACAGTGGCTTATATATATTAGAAATCGTAAGGCAAAAGAAAGTAAAAGTAAATTGAGAACGAGAGAAAAGACGCACCGTCATTCGAGCAGATTAATTCGGATAGTTCGGAATACACTACGTGGCGTATTAAAGAAATCGACAACATCAGATCTCTCATTGGCTGAAATACACATCCGATTAATGGCTTGAACATTCCGTACGGTGTCCAAGTAACGAAAAAAGTATGTTAACTTCTAGAGGAGCGTCGTGAATCCTGTAGAATTAATAATATCTGGAGAGTAAAAATGCGTCCAGCAAGAACATCCCGAAGAAACAGCAGATCAGAGACGATTCTTCTGGTTTTGAGAGATAAGATATTAAATCATGATGAAGTTGTTCATTGTCACGACGACAGATCGACATAGGTGGTATATCATACTATGGTAACATAATCTCCGGATAAAAAAATGCTAAAACATGTTCGATGCATGGAGGCACTGAGACCTCTAGTAGGGAGAACAGAAAATACTGCCATATTCAAGATGTGCCGGACCAAAGGGCAATATAACGATTTTGAAGTACTAATTCAACGAAAGTAAGTGCCGTATCGAGAAATAAATCCAAGAGTTTTATACACCTCAGAGGCGATCCCTTTTACGTGCATCTCGAGAGATAAGTCAGAACTGAACCAGATTCCGAGATCTCAGTTTCCACCACTGGCGCGGAAGAGTGCAAGAGATGGTAGCTGCATGTGTAGGGATTCCCTCCTCTTGCGAACCTCAATGTGTATAACACTTAAGATTTCAATTAATTTCATTATTCAGGTATCGTTGATCTGAGTTTATCAGAGTAGATTGCAAGTGGAGAGAACTTCGTCATAATTGGAAATTCTCCTAAAATCTTCAAGTCGTCCGCGTATAGTGAAAATTTTAAATTCTTGAAAATGTAACGTGTGTCATTAACAAATACGTTAAATAATGAAGGATGCGCAAATTTTGAGGTATAGCCGAAGGAACTGGAATCTTCGAGGAAGATGAGCCTCTGAATTATAGATCGTAAAGGAGCGTTTTGCAAGCGCGGAAGATATTTGCATTTCTAATTAACAGCGTATCGAATTGATGCGTATCCGAACGTACTAACAATCTGTAATTCGATTATGGGATTAGCGTTGCGCTATGAATCACCATTAATTAGATCGATATCGCAGGCCCCGTTGCCGTTGCTTAATTCGTTAATAAATCTATCGATCACCGTCGAACTGGCATAAATTAGCAAATCAGCCATCAATTATTCTTCAATCGCGTTCGCAAAACCGCGCGCTGGCGCGTCGCTAGATCGGCGCGACGCGCGGCCGCCCATAAATCGTCGGCTGAAACTCGATTCCGGCTGTCCGTAATTTTCAAAATCATCGACCCGCTGAAATCGAAACGACGCGAATCCGTTGCAGCGCGTGTTTCGCCCGCAGATCGCTCGATCGTGAAATCGGTGGATTCCTCGTCGAACGCGAAAACCTTTCGAGACGCGTCGCGGGCGAATTATTTTTTTTTATCTCTTTAAAATTTAGCGAAAAACTATGCGAATTTTCCGTGGCAGTCCCTGCCTCTTCGGATGACCCGCCCGACGTGAAATTTGTCGATTAAGATAAAGAGCGTGAAAAAATCGCACGATCTCGCCCGTAAAATCCCCCTTAAGCGCGGCAATGCGCGCGGCTGAATGACAGCGCCGAGAGATATCGATGCCGCATACAAGCCGATTGGTTGCGTTCCGGAGTTCCTGCACGTGCACACACCGGACTGTAATGTGTGACCGACGGACGGCCTGAAATAATTTTCGACCGGCGACGGTCCCGCAGGATTTATGGCGGCGAGATCGACCGGACGTGCGGTCGTCTCGGCCCGTCGAGCAGCCGCGATTGCGAGAGAATCGTGGATATCACGAGGCTGCAATTTTACAATAGAGGGAGAGAAAGAGGAGGGAGGGGAAAAGGAAGAGAGAGACAGAGGGAGAGGGATGATGTCGATTTAGCTATTCGTGTGTTTCGGCATTTTATCTTCCATATATGTTATTATTATTCCATCATTTTTGCATTTTGGCAATTTTACCTCTGACGAGTTGCGTCGCGTTTTGCGACGAGTGGGTGGATAAAAGTTGCCAGCATCTGCCATTCCTTCTGTCAATATTTGAACGCGCATAAATAAACGATCATAACGAAATGCCGGTGGTGTGATGAGACTTGATCGATGGTGATATTTTTCGAGTGAAAACATCATCCGCGCCGCGAAATGCATCCGGTAGAAAATGATTATAAATTTATATTTATCACCCTCGGCCACCCTCCGCTGCCTGTCCTCCCTGAAAAAATAGGGCGTAGCACACGGGGACCATTCGCACCCGTTCTTCGCACGGGACACATTACACGGGAAAAAACAATATCTACGGGAGAAATTCGCGAGGAATTATTTGCAAGGTCGCATCCCCGCGAAAAGAATCTCGGAAATTGTAAATCTGCGAGACGTGGATTTAAAAATCGTGAACTTACGAAATGTGAGAAGAAGAGATGAATTTTCCGCTTAAAAGATATTTGAAAGTCGCAAATTTACAAAACACCGTGTCGAAGGAGAATAACTTTTTGCACGAGAGAAGATTCGAAAATTGTCAATCTACGAAGCATATCGTATAAGAGGAGGGATCACTCCGGGATGCGAGCGCTGCTTGTCGCAGGGCTACTAATTCGCGCAAAGAGCAATTAACTATCGTGCGTTTTCCGATTGCAGGCGGAGTGGAGAAATCGCAGTACGGCCAGCTGCCGAAGCCGGTGGTCAGCCGGCACGGGTTCGAGGGTTGCCTGGCGTCGTTGGACCTCAGCGGCGAGAGCACCGACCTCAACACGGACGCCGTGGTGCCGAGTTCCCAAGTGATAAGCGGCTGCGACGTCTACACCAACCTGCATCCGGGAAAGAAGTGTACCCACGATCTCTGCGCGAATCACGGCACATGTGTGCAACAGTGGAACAGTTACACCTGCGACTGCGACATGACGAGCTTCACCGGGCCGACCTGTAGCGACGGTAATGAGCGGGGCAGAGCGGGAAGTCGATCAGCACATCTCGGCATTCCGACGGGCTCGCCCATTCGTTATTCCTCCCGGCGCTATTTCCGACCACGCTATCGTATTTTCGTGACTTTATCAGCGGCACCGTTGCCTCCCTCAATTTCTTATTTCTGGAGAGGAAAGCGAAGTAACCGAGAATATCACGCACGTGTCTTGTATTAATGTAATCGCTGTCTTCCACGCTTCCGGCAGGGGACAAGGATACGCGCGCGTTAAGGGGCGGTTAAAACGGCACATTAGAGATATCGGTGTTCCGCGTGCGAAAATAGCGATGATATAACCGCGGGATGAAAAGGGCGCTTCCTGTATCGCGTTGGTTCGGTCGGTAATTTTAGCTTGTCATTTTTCGCCGGTACTCTCCGCTCTTTCCGTACGCAAGTATATATAACGGGTACTGTAACGGGTACGTTACATTTCGCGAAGTTGTAACGCCGTTCGCCGAAGTTATCGAAGTCCGCGCGCGTTATCGCGTTATCGGATTATTCCGCGACGTAACAAACATTACGGGGATGTGAAACTGACTCATAGTTTCGATGCGATCGATCTCGCCCGCCCGGGGCAGTCGGACGTTATTTTTTTCCGCCTGGCGCCCGGAGAACCGACCGCGATTATCGGCGGAATTCTTCCTCAGCGAAGAGGAAAACAGATTTCGAAAACAGGGTTAAAGCGCCGGGGAGTTAAATTGATTCGAGCTACCCCGTATCGCGATCGCTGCTGGATCACGTCACGAGGAGAACGCGAGCTCGGGCTATGCGAAAGTTGCTATGCACAGGCAGCGGATGAAAAAAGAGACAACTCGAAGTCCTAATTGCGTGAAATGTTCTTCCTCCGCAGAGGCGATCGCCTACGAATTCGGAGCCGGCCGTGGGATTATCACGTACACCTTCCCGGCGGACCGCCGGCCGGAAATGAAGAGGGACACCGTGGCTCTGGGTTTCGTTACCGGCGCGAACGACGCCGTGCTGCTCAGGATAGAGTCCGCGTCGAGTAACGATTACCTCGAGATCGAAATCGTTAGTACATGCGACGTGGGAAATATCGCCTAAGTGTCGCGCATGGGAAAGGAAGACCGGTCGAATTCACGCGACACGACACAGCCGAGCGCCTTTGATAGAAGCGGAGAGGAGTAAGAGAGGAAACGTGAGAAACAGAATGAACGCGACGGAAAACAGAGAGGGCAAATAAGAGCCGATGCGCAGTTAAGAAACGCCGTTAACGCTTAATATTTATCAATCGGTCGTTTAATAGCGTAACGAACGAAGGTCAAATTCAAATACGTCGCTTGTTCGGACTTCCCTCTTCAGCGCAGAAATGAAATTTTGCATCTCTCACGAAGCAAGTCCGATTCTTAGCAACCGGACAAACGCGCTTAGTTACGTGACGTCGCGTTAATTCAAGAAGTCTTCCTTCTCCGTGCGTAAATTGTGACGAAAGAGAGAAAACAAACAGCTGCCCGAGCGCGAAGATTCGCGGGTAGAGCGCGAGGAAAGGTTGTAATGAAATCACCGCAAAATTTTGCAACGCTGAACCGTGCCGGAATTGTGACGGGAGTTGTGACGTGCGTTGTAATCCTCGGTGATGTACATCACCTGTACACATCGTTAAAGATTAAAATACATATGATCATTTAATTTCGATAATAATTCCGGTGCTATTCAGCACTGGCAAGTTCGGCGGTAATTTTTACCACCGATATTATCTCCGCGTACAACAAGTGCGATCGGCGACACGCGTCGGATACGCGATTCGTCGCGACCTCGCGCATTTCGCTTTAATCCTATGCGATGTCGAGCAATTAATTACACCGATCGTTAATTTATTCCTCTATCTTCGTACGGACTAATTTACGAGCCGCTATATTAGTTAACCGGCGTGTGGCGCGCACAATGAAAACGGTCAACCGCAATTTCAACGGGAAAATTTCCTGTCACCGTCGCGGACGATAAAACTCACACGCACACCTGATTAGCCGTTAATTTCATTGAAATAATTAATCGCCGACCGACTAGTTTGTAAATTATATATTATGAATTTCAAACAAATAATTATAACGTACAGACGCAATAAGTAAACAATTTGCGCGCGCCAGCTTTATCGGCGTGTAAATGATTATCGGGCGGCAAATTAGCGATACGTCAACGAGCCGCTATCTTTAATCGTTCATTCGCGTTCTCACTTTGTCGCTGTCGCGAATTAACGAGCGGGAGAGAAGGGGACGGTTTTAAATACGGGCCTGACTCTTGTCAGGCGACGATTCTTGCATCTTCGCACGTATTCGCCATTTTTCATCGAATCACGTCGACGTTCCCGGTGACTTTTCGCTGGTACACAGAGAGCGCATCAACACTCCGCTCGCGCGATACAGCCCGGTAGTGAAAATGTTTCGATTAAAATTCGCGCGGAAAATATTGTCGTTCGAAGCTGCCTCGTGTTTTTTTCCCCATCTGTTTGGAAAAGAACGACCGCTCGCGGAAATATATTTGAAAATCGCGCTGCAGGAACGGAGAATAATTCGCTCGTTTTTTGCAGGTGGAAGGCAACGTGTTCGCGGTGTACAATATGGGCACCAACGACCACCCGATCGGCGAGGTCGGCGTTAAAGTCAACGACAACCAATACCACGTGGTCAGGTTCACCAGGACAGGGCCGAACAGTACGTTGCAGGTCGACGACTACAATCTGCAGTCTAATCATCCATCGGGTGAGTGTCAGATCTCACGCATCGCGTCTCACGGAGGTATCGGTTGCGTGCTCTCCGAGCAGCCCCGAGTGAAATTCCAGCGGAAAAGTGAAGCGACGCCCCGAATTTAAGTGACTTTTCACTTTTGTGTAAGTGAATTCTCCCCCGCTCTGAAGCGTCGAGCGAATCGCGTTTCGTTCGGAAACTGAAGGGAGTGAATCTGATTCAGTCCGCCGTCTCGCTGGAAATTCACCCTGACCGACCGAAACATTCGCTCGTACGGATTAAGAATTCCCTCTGCGGCTGAATTGAATATTCACTCCTGCGATCCCGAGTGGCGCTATTTTCATTATCGCCTCGGCTAAATTTTCAGCCGCTTCAAGCGAGACTTCATCCTGAAGAATTTCGAGACTACGATATCGCGGGTCGACCGAAACGTTCTCGCTCGTACGAATTAAGAATTCTCTCTGCAGCTGAATCGGCCTTCGCGATTCCGAAAATAGCCGCGCTATTTTCATTATCGCTTCGGGCGAATTTTCGGTTGATTCCAGCGAGATTTCACTCTGAGGAATTTGGGGAATACGATATCTCGCGGATCGACCGTCGGTCGTTAGCGTTTACGTAGGCGATAAGCGACTTGTGTTCGCGAGACTATTATCAGCAGCTGTTGTGCGCAATTGCGCATTCGCTAATGAACATGGAAACTTATCGAAAGAATTAGGAAATTCGAAAATTTGAAAATCGCACATTATACGGTCTCCTTCTGAAAATTGACCGTTTGGGCGCTGCAAATTCACATTTCTTAAATCTTCTTCGAGAAACTATCTTCGAAACGTGTAGATTCACGTCCTTCGCATTCTACTCCCGAAAAGTAAATTTAACATTTCGATGCAATTTCGATGCATTAATGAATGTGGAAAATTCTACACAAAACGAATCGAAGGTTGTACGTGGCACGTGGATTTTCAGGTCTCCTCTTCTGGAAACGAATCCCTCGAGAATCGCAAATTTACAATCCTCAGATCTTCTTCCGACCTTCGGGACTTGCAAATTTCCGATCCTCACGTTCTTCTTCGCAAATTGCAAATTTTAGATTTCGCGATCCTTTCGCCCGCGAGGCACACCGTTGACCAAAGGTACCCAAGAACCTCAAACGAATTTCGCGTGGGAATGAATGTAACGTCTAAAGCACAACGTTCGAATGGAAGAATCGCGAAACCGTGTACCATCGAGAATCGATCGCGCGAAAATCCGCCGTGGGACGACGCGGGCGGTTCGAGGACCGCCGACCAACTGAGAAACAAGAGGTTCCCATGTGCTCTTTTATGGTGGGTCTCGGTCGGCCATTGGCTCCCCCGACCATGGGAAACGGCCTTGATCGGTCGTGCACACCGGACCCCATTGTCTCTTCGGGAACGCGAAGGCCGCCCCTTGCGCGCGAAGATGTCCCGCTCGTGCTGGGAATGATTTATCGATTTCCCGGGGAATGATCGGGCCAGCCTGGGAACGTTCTCGCTGCGATCGCGCCGCGATGTGCAATTACCGACTGCGCGATTTATGCGACTGGAAACGCCAAGCTCCGCTCGGTCCATCACATTCGGCAGGCCGAACCTTGCAGTCTTGCAGTCGTTCTCTCCCCTTTCGTCTCCCTTCCCTCCACCTCTCTATCTGTCTCTTTCTCTTATTTGAGAATATCGATAGGTATCTGACAAATATTTTTCGCCCTTCATTATTGCTTGAACATTCGATCACTTCGATGCAAACAGCCACGTAAAAAATGAGCTCGCAACGTTCCTTAAAACACTTAATACGCACGGAAAAGGAAGCGTCGAAATGAATTTGAAAATGAATTTGTTGCCGATCCGATCGCGTGATGTTCTTTTTTTATATTCAGTGTGGATTTTACCGGAAATTGCTTCGGGCGGTCTGCTTCGTCTCAGAGCGAAGTCGTCTCGACGTTCGTGATGAAAGTTACGGAGCTAGAGAGAACGAGATAGAGAGAGGGAGGGAGAGAGATAGAGAGAAAGGGCCTTCGGTTCCGAAGAGCCGATGCTACCTGCGTGTGGAAGGGCCGGACCAAGGCCCCGGAAAATCTTCGGAAACGCACCTCCGCGTCCCTCCTGACGGCCGGGTTTTCCCACCGGGAAATAATTAGCTCGCACACTTTTCCGCGGAAGAAACCACCGAGGCGTCCCGCTACCATCGTCGCTCTTCTAACGCTCTGGTATCTTCGTAACTTTTAATTAGATATATTCATCATGACGCACACACGTGCCGCGCGCCACGTGCAGCGTCGTCGTCGTCCACCCGTCGGAGCTTTTCGTTCCCTTGAGAAGATGAAATCCTGATGCTCAGGCGAGCGATCGAAGTTCCATCGATCGCCCGAGCTGTGCTAAGTCCGTCTATCTGTCTCTCGGCCGGCCTTTGAAATTTCCACGCGTAACATGCCGTCCTGATAACTTGACCTTTAAAAAACGCTTTCGCTTTTCCACCGGAGCTGTGTGCTTACGAGGCGAAGCTGGCCGCTTCTGACGCTATGCGCCGTGCGGTCTCGTCTCAGGAGAGAGAGAGAGAGAGAGAGAGAAAGAAAGAAGAAGGGACAGAAACGAGGCCGACGAATCAGCCGATGAATTAATCGCGAGACGAATCGGCCGGCCGCGATTCCGATCGACGAATTCGCGTTAGGTCGTCGCCGAAATCGTCTTCGCGGAATCGTCCCGCTCGGCACACGCGAGTCGAACGGGAATCTGTTCGCGTTATATTTTATACACACACACGCGCACGGTTCCGCGAACGCGGCCGCGAAATAGCGGGCCGCTGCTCGCGAGAAGAATCGCGAGGAAACGAGGGAAGGGAAAGGGCTGAACGAAAGCGCGTGTGTCCGCGTGCATCGGAGACAGCCGATCGGGCAGTCTTACGGGGCACCATAAGGAAGCTTCTTGCGGCAGCATGGTACCCTGGCAATCATGGTTGCGCCTATGTTGTTTCTGCCCTTAGCAGATCACAGCCGTTGAAACCGGGAGAGAAAGAGAGAGAGAGAGAGAGGGGAGAAATCGGTGGGAGAGAACGAGTGATGTATCCTTCCACACGCGCGATACGCATTGGGCTTTAAGCGAAACGTGCGAATCGCTTCGGACATTTTTGCGTAAACTCACGGTCAGGAACGTGAATTTTATTCGCGAACGATGCGCGTCAGGAGGAGGATCGCACCAATTCGTCGGATTCGTGAGGAAAGATTGAGGAAAATATTTTACGACTTTTCTCTCGTGTCTTTCTCTCGGTCGTTTCTCGGTCGTTCGCGAGAAACTGGTTAAGTTGCATAATTTCTTGGCCGAGAGGCTTCCTTCGGCTTGACAGCGGAAAAAGAGAGAGATAAAGAGGCGACGTGGGTACGGAATTGCCGGATATTCGCTCGCACGCTGTTGTCTCTCGGCAAATTGCTGCCAATTAGTTCGCGCGTCTCATGCGACCTCCGATCGCGAGCCGAATCGATAAGATCGCTGATTTACGAGCGGCCAGCGACGCAGACGAGACGCATCTGGCTACGCATAATTCGATGAATTTAGCTACCAGGCTTATATGCGTAGCGTGGAGCATGGTCCTCTTCATTTTTTACGCAGGCAAATTTATTCTAATTAAATCAAATTAGATTCACCCTCCTTCGTCCTTTCTTCCGCCGTCTCTCTCTCTCTCTCTCTCTCTCTCTCTCTCTCTCTCTCTCTCCCTCGATTCTCGCTTTCTCTCTTTTCATCTCTCCCTCTTATTTAAATATTGCTAAATATTTGATCCGTAAGAACGCGACTCGCTACGCTCCTCGAAACGCTTCGCACACAAATTAAAAAAAAAAGGGGGGGAGGAGAGAAAGAGAAACGGGTCGAGATGAATCCGCAAATTAATTTATCGCTGATCTCTAACCGCGCGATCGATCGTTCACATTCGTTCGGAATTTGATCGGATAACGCTTTTTCCCGGCCGTTTATTTCCAAATATCTCAAAGCGAGAGCCGCTCCGATGTTCGGCGCGTGTTTCGATGAACGTTGCGGAAAAAAGTTCTAACCAATTATATAATCCAGGCCGGGCTCACCGGATAGCCAATTACCGCGATATACCGGGAGATTTATGCTAGATCCGCGGAGACCGGGCCCCTACGATTATTGCCTCATGGAAAATTAATTAACAGACTTCGCGAAGTTGCCGAGGGTCGCGTTCGGGCCGCTCGATAACGTCACGGGAGCGCGCGTCCCGATGCACCCCCCCCCCCNTCCCATAATGCTTCTTGTTTTCCGCGCCGACGAATAAATTATTGTTGACGGCAATAAATCCGGAGTTGAGCCGCGGCCTGCGCCGGAATGAAATTAGTCGCGACCATAATAACACCGCCGGCCTCGCTAGACGCGCGCACTTTATTCCTCGGGCCCGCTCGTTATTTGGCGAATATTAATCGCGCTCTGCCCTCCGCCAGCCCCCTTCCTCTCTCCTCCTGATGTCGGGAATTTGAACAAAACGCGCGCCGACGAGCGAGCGCGATCGATCACGGACAGTGTAAATTAATTTCGACGAAGATACATGTGCAAACGAACGGCCGGGAGAATTCCTGCGGCGCCGGCCACGTATTTAATTAGCAAATGACAAAGCACGGAGATCCTTATTTTACGTGTACAATTAATTTTATAATGTCGCCCGTGCCATCGCGTCCGCACAACGAAATTGCATTTGTTCGTTCGGCGTTTCGGTGCATGTTGCTTTTGTGTGTATGTGTGTGTGTGTGTGTGGGTGTGAGCGTGTTAATATAATTAAGCACTTCGGTTAATTACATATAATTTTCGAATAATTTACATCGAATCGTACGGTAGACCTGCGGTTTACTTAATATATGACATAATGCGCGAGCCGCATTTATAAATGGCAGCGAGTTAACGCGCGAGTGTATAAATATACTCTCAACTGTTGTTACAACGCACCGTCCCCGCCGGCGAAACATCCTTCTTCCGGCCCGGGCGGATGTCCAAAAATGATTTCCG